GGGGGGCGGCAGGCATTTGCTCTGGCTTCCCCAGTTTCATGCAGTTTCAAGTCACGGTGTTATGTAGACGCGTATCTGCCTCTTTGTGTGTGTGTGTTGAAAGAGGGCACCCACTGCAGAAGGAGCTCCAGACTCCCCAAATAAACACAGGCCGGAGACAAATTTCTTTTCTTTTATTACACAACAATAATCAAGTAATTTGGGGGCGGAGTGATGAGGAGAAACCCCCAGCAGTGTTCAGCGAAATGCCTGGAATAAGAAAGTTGGGGGGAGGGCTGAGATTGTGAAGTAGAACTGGGGACCGCTATCAAGAGAGCTTTGTCTCAACTTCGTATATTAAAACAATCAGCTCCATATTTTTCTTTGCTAAATTTTAAAACTGCAGCAACAAGACAGCCTTTTCTTGTCTGCTTAGTGGGTTTCACAAGGAAGAATAATGTTTGGTCTCTTCAGCAGGATTCATAATCCAAAAGAGGTGGCTCCTGATTTCAGGCTGCCGCAGGCACCTGAGGGGAAACGGTTGTGTCTATCACTACTTCAGTAGCTTTTTCCTCTCCTACGACAAAAATCGCTTTATCGAAGTTCTCGCCAGATTAGTTTTGGAGTCCTGTTAATTGTGGCTTCCTCAGAATTTATTTATATCCTTCGAATTCGGTCTTGCGCGTTTCCAACGTGGCCTTATTTTTGTGTATACTGAAAAGAGTGATGACGTCGAAGCAGTTTTCCTGGGGCGCTCCCTTATCCGTTTCATTTTAACCCTTTAAATTCTGGAAGTGCTGCTTATCTGATCAGAGGTCTTCTGGGGGGTTGGGTGAGGGAGACACCTAGGAATCCCCTCCAAACATGAGCTGTGCCAGAGAGAACGCGCCGTCTGTAGCAGAACCCCTCGCTTGGAAAGAATGTTTTTTGCTTTCCTCCTCAGTGTGAATGAATGATTTATCGATATAACTAATCAATCAGTGGGGCTCCCTCCTTTTTTTTCCTTTTTCTTTTTTTCCTTGTAAGCAGTTTCATATCACTTAAACATCTTGGCTTTTAAAGAGGTAACTTGGTGTTGGTGAGGGCCTTTAAAGAGAAAGACAGACCCTACCATCTAATGCAAACATGGCATATGTGTGCCTTTCCAGGCAACTTAAGATAAATTTAAGCTTGATCTAGGTCTCCATCCGCAGCCACGGAGAGACTGATGTAAAACGATCAGTCGACAAGTCCTTCAGGGACCACTGAATGTGACCAGCTGGGAGAAGTCTGGAAATGTATTCTGTGAATGGGCGCTACACCTCCTGGCAAAAAAATCCTCCGGTTTAAACCTTTTCTTTGTTCTTTTTTCTCTTTCGACTTGCCTTTCCCCCCGTCGCTCTTTTCTTTAGTGGCATCTCCAGCTTTTGCGCGGGGGTCGTTGAGGTATCTTGATTTTCTTAGGGGAGGAGAGACCAGAGGATGAAGGCAGGACGTCTTCAAGCAGCGAGAGCGGTGGGGTGGGGGGGGGGGGGGCGGGGGAGCGGCTTTCCAGGCTCAGCAGTCGGGGTGGATTGAAAGGGAAAGCAGCCGGGCTCTAAATGGAGCGATTCCTTTCCAATCGTGCAGCCCCCGCCCCCCCGCGTCCCGGTTTTGGGGTGCCAGGTGTTCCCTTTATCAAGGGATAATTCGTTTTTTTTCGCACCGAATC